ACATTAATCCAGTCCAGATTTGAGAGGTCTAGGTACAGTGGTTTTTGATCTGGACCTGGTCTAATGCGGTCTATGTGCTGAAAAAAGTGTGAAATGTGTCTTTATTGCATTTTCACAAATAGAATAAAGGTTTCACAAATCAGAGACTGTGTTTTTATGAATCTTCAGGGTCTGTACATCAATCCAGTCCAGATTTGAGAGGTCTTTAATGTGGTCTTGGTGTAAAACAAAAACGGTGAAATCTCCCCTTTAGCATTTTCACAAATAAAATAAAAGTTTCACAGATACAATCGTAGGTGTCAGGCAAAGCTGATGTCTTACCTAAAATGTCTAAAACGTTTTCACAACACGAAGTGTCACAAAAAACAGACAAACAGTCGCACTGCACAATAAGTTAATTTCCCCTTAACTTTCCCCTTAAGTGTTTCCCCTTAAATCGGAGGCTGGCGAAGCGGAAGCCAACTTTAGCGTCGTAGAGAGAGTCTACGTTTGAGTTAGGCAGTTAGGCATAAGGAGTAACACGGTGCTGGTAGGCCTACCGCTGGCAGTGGCTTGCGGGAAAGCAGTGGAGGTTTGCGGTGATGTAGCCGTCGCACTAGCGCAGAACATCGAAATTGGTAATTGCTCACTACATCTGCGCAGTCTTGTTTGGTGGCTATTAGACTCCATGTGTGACCTGACGGCGTTCACTCCCATCCAGGTGATAGTCATTGTCTTTTTACAGACAATAAGCCTCTCGGCTGTTAACAACTACTGGCCTAAGCCAGTCTTTGAATCTCGAGTCCTGTAACCAGAGGTCAGAAAAATTACATTTCCCCATGACTTCGTCAACCGTGTGCTATCCATATGGAGCATAGACTGCGGCGCAAATAGTTTTACCGCGTTGCACACTGTCTGATGTCACATCATCGATACCTCTCAGGTCTTACTCGCACATATAATTTATATAAATAAATTCACGCAATTTTTAGGAGATAGGCCTGCACTTAATATTACAATATTACCAAATGTCTTTTAAATCATTCACACAAAACTGAAAGGAAAAAAACAGCAGCTGCAACAAAAAGAGCCACCAGATGTGGCTGCTGAGCTAATTCAGCTTGCATTTTTGTATTCGAAATTGTTTAAAATACTGCCTCGAAATTGTACTGCCTCGAAATTGTTTATTCTGCCTTTGATTTCGAGAGCGGCTGTATAAAACCAGTAACCTTATGTCGACTAATTAGGTTGATTAGGCCTAACTACTAACATTAGCTAGAGTTAGCTAAAACATAGAACATTAGCTGAGTTCAAACAAGCATTTTTGCAAATTCCCCAGTCTCTTAGCTCACAATACTTCGATCGTAATGATGGTTTAATATAAGAATTTTACATAGTTTTACATAATAGAGAGACAGGTATGCTACTCACCAGTGTTGAAAGCATGCTGCTGCTACTGCGGACTGCTGCTGTCTCGCTGATCCGAAGAAATTCAAAATAAAAGCGCGCAGTGTGACCGTTACACTATATTGCAGTACGTATGACCTACATTTTTTTTTTTTTTTTTTTTTAATAAATTGTTAAATATTTACGATACAAACAGTAAGAACAAGCAGACAGAGTCATTATTACAGAAAATACATTAGTCAAGAGCAGAGCCAGTGGGAGTTTCAAATATATACATCATAAGAGAATAACTGAATGGTTTTAGCAGCTTTCTTATTTTTTGAATCATACATAGTTTTGATGTACTGTTCCGTTTCCTTACCAAAAGAAATAAAAGAAGGTTTAGAGGTACTAAATTTGGCTTTGTGAATATGATATTTCCCTAAAATTATAATTTTTTTAACTTTTGTTGTCATGGAAACCAAACAGGCATGACTAAACTCCTAATTTTGAAAAGTCTGGCCACAGCGTCTGCTAGGGTGGCCTTTCGGCTGCAGGCACAGCCTTAAATCTGACACTAATTTGTCCTCCTTTTGAGAAAATAACAAAAAAGGTCGCCTTTTGACACATTACCTTGTTAGTTTAATACGTATTGGCTAAAAATGTGTGTCAAAAAAGCTGTGTCAAAATAAGTAATTTCATTGTTTACATTTTCGTTTTGTGACCTATCAACACATGGCTAATTTTAATATTCAAATGAGCCATGTGTTGATGTGCAGTTGCTACCACCAGGCTGTCAATCAAGCTCTCAGCAACAGAGAAGTAACAACGTTGGTTGTTGGACTGAAATTCTGAAAATGCTCATACTCAGATGTATAGGCAAAGCCTAGGCAAAGCCTATACATCTGAGACAGAAGGTGCTGTATTTTACCCTTTATCTATCCAGACAAGAACATCAAGAACAGTTTCTGTATGATGTTTATTAGACCTTTGTAATCTGAATTGGAAGGGCACGTTGTCATGAGCTGTATTTCATATATTTATGTGGTATGTGCAGTGTTGGGAGAAACGGCGTTAAAAGTATAATGGCGTTACTAACTAATTAGTAATCTAATTAATTACTTTTCCCATCGTTGCAGCGCCATTACCATTACCAAGTGGCGCGTTACTTGCGTTACTACAATTTGGTTGAATGAAGCGCAGCTGTGTCAGGCTTTCTGACACCCACACATCAGCTGCTGGGAGAGAGCAGGGGTGGTGATGATGACACTGTTGCAAATGTAATGATGATTGGCTGGGCGGGCGGATGTGCTGCTCACGCTGTCTAACTACTACTATAAACACAAGACAGAGACAATGGGGACGAGCCAGGGAAATTCAAAGGTAGCCTTATCAAATTGGAAGTACCAACACTACTTCTCACTTACTGAAGTTAAATGCAAGAATGTTTATGTAACGTGAGAATTTTATTTTCAATATTTATTTTTTATATTTTTTTTATTTCTATGCATATGGCCGGCTGCAATCTATTGAGTTCAAATAAATACCAAATGTTCTAAAACACTGTATATAGTAATTTGTAATTTGTAAGTAAGATGTCGAACACTGGGTAGGTGTATGCACCTTTATGTAATCTAGTGGAAAAACATATTAAAATTTAAACCCGGATCATACCAAACAAATATCTGCTTGAGTGTCCCTGTGTATGCAAAGTGTCCTCCTTTTTGATGTGAGGGAAATGGCCACCCTAGCGTCTGCTTTTGTCAAACACAATGTTTCTGCTCATAAACTATGGAGCAATAAATATGCCAGCACATGTCAACAACAACAACAACAGATCGAGGATCTTCTGAAATGTTTAAGAAACATAGTAAAATTTAATGCAAAACCTTGTGCCCTGAAAAATAATATTTTTATTTAAAAATAGACTATTAATATTTTTGTTCCATATATTTTTTTATTCAGTATATTATTCTTATTTTATTTTTATTTTTTTATTTATTTTTTTATTCTTCTGTATTATATCTCTTAGTAAGGTAATACAATTATTACTGTGAAAATCTATAGGCTATCCAGTGGCTTAAGGATATGCTGTTGCATATTGCAGCTTCAACCTGCCAGGCCATTCCATTACATTCTGCTTCTGCCCCACAGAACTGCAGCTGCTTACTTGTGTTGTGTGTGTTTTTACCCGTAATGTGTGATAGATGTGTCAAAGGTAAGAGAGCACTAAAATTCTCCAACCATTCACTAGCAATCTGTCTACGGTTTGATCAGGTCTGTGCAAACCACAGAGCCAGCTCTCCTTACAAGCCTGTCCAACCACAAGCCGCCTCGCAAACATGCCAGAGCACACAAGATAATGCTGATGACAGTGCTGTCATGTTGTTTTGCAAGTTCGACTGTAATATTTACTGTATGAATACAGAGCAGTAACAATCCAGTCGCACACCAGTGGCAGTCGGTCCAAAAAAAATTGAGGCACATTTCACCTTGTTACTGCACACCTGACTTCTGCTGCTTTCATGTCTACAGTCACAGAGTTATTAAGAAGGAAAATATAGCCTGTAGATTTTAATCAGGGTTTATACCCTGTTTTAATGTCTATATTTACGTTAATTATGATTATAAAAGATAGTCCACCAATGTTTAACTGGGATTTTGATGATTTTAAAGATGCAAACAATAAATGGAACAGAGTTCAGCAGGAAAAACCAAGAGTGTGTACCCAAAATTTGGGGCCAGGTGCTCTGGGGCCCAAACTGTTGCCCTTTAAATGTTGACAACATTTGTGCAAATTTAGGGCATAACTGTAGAAAATACAAAAAAATGAAATTATTAAAGCAACATGGGTCCCAAATTTTGTTACCAAGTTCCACCCCATGCCTGCTTTGCCCAATTATGGGGCCCATAGAGTAGGCCTACATGGGCTTCCCATGTGGGGCGCATGTTACAGGACCCACATGGGGCCCACACAACTTTTCTATTTCCAGCCCATTCCCACTTAGCCCATTCATATCCCTTATGAGGCCCATACAGTCAGACCAAATGGGTTTCCTATGTGGGGCCCATGTTACTGAAACAATATGGGTCCCAGACAATGTTACCCAGTTCCACCAAATTCCCACTCTGCCCACTTATATTCCTTACGGGGCCCATAGAGTTGGTCCACATGGGCTTACCATGTGGGAACCATGTTACTGGAATAACATGGGCCCCAGATATTGTTACCAAGTTCCCGCAATGCCTACTTTGCCCAATTATATCCCTTTTGGGGCCCATAGAGTAGGCCCACATCGGCTTCCCAAAACTAACCTACTTCCATCCCATGCCAACCCAGGCCCAGAAATTTTGCCCAGTTCTAGCCAATGCCCACTTGATACCCATGCAGCCCCTTTGTAAACCATATGGGGCCCACGTGTACATGTTGGCTGGGGTGGAATCTCTCTAAATCACTTTTGGAACGGTCTTCTGCTTATGACACGACGTGACACTGTCAATAGCTTTTGGGCCAGGGTCCCCTGTACATTTGACCATTGAACCAAAAACTGTATTTGTTGTGCAAAATATATGTACAACATTTTTTGGATGGTGTTAGCATTTGGGCCCAGGGCCACCCCACAGTAGGCTTTTAAGCTGAAATAGCTTAGTTGAGAGAGCGTTAGACTGAAAATCTAAAGGTCCCTGGTTTGATCCCGGGTTTTGCCATATGTAGGTCCCAGTTTTGGTAAAAGATTGCCGTGATGGTTAGAGGTGCATACTCAGATGTTAAAAGAAAAAAGCGAGATCCACAAATGTCATGTGAAAACTTGTTGTTCTGTGTAATCTATCTTAAACATTTGCGAAACTGTCAATAGGTTTTGGGCCAGGGACAACTGTACATTTGACCATTGAACCAAAAACTGTATTTTCTGTGCGACCGTCTTGTACAACTTTTTTGGGATGTTGTTAGCATTTTTGATCAGGGCCACCACACAGCTGGCTTTTGAGCCGAAATAGCTCAGTTGGGAGAGCGTTAGACTGAAGATCTAAAGGTCCCTGGTTCGATCCCGGGTTTCGGCATGTGAAGGTCCCAGTTTTGGTAAAAGATTGCCGTGATGGTTAGAGGTGCATACTCAGATGTTAAAAGAAAAAAGCGAGATCCACAAATGTCATGTGAAAAGTTGTTGTTCTGTGGAATCTCTCTTAAACATTTGTGACATGGTCAATAGCTTTTGAGCCAGGGTCCCCTGTACATTTGACCATTGAACAAAAAACTGTATTTGCTATGCGACTGCTTTGTACCATGTGAAGGTCCTTTACCATAGACTTATTTTAAGGGATGTTGTATAGCATTTGGGCCCCAGGGCCACCATCAAACAAAAGCCGGACAACTTTTTGATGTTGTTAGCATTTGGGCCCAGGGCCACCCCACCCCCTTTTAAATAGCTCAGTTGGGAGAGCGTTAGACTGAAGATCTAAAGGTCCCTGCTTTGATCCCGGGTTTCGGCATAAGTATGTCCCAGCTTCCGTAAAAAGCTTTCTCTGCGAAGTCTTTGTACAACATTTTTGGGATGGTGTTAGCATTTGGCCCAAGGGCCCCCACACAATTGGAGTTTGAGCCAAAATAGCTCAGTTGGGCGAGGGTTAGACTGAAGATCTTAAAGTCCCTAGTTTGATCCTGGGTTTTGTCATATGTAGGACTATGTTTTGGTAAAAGACTGCAGAGGAGGTTAGAGATACATATTCAGATGTTAAAAGAAAAAGCGAGATCCCAAAATGTCTCTTGAACATTTGCGACACTGTCAATAGCTTTTGGGCCAGGGGCCACTGTACATTTGACCATTGAACCAAAAACTGTATTTTCTGTGTGACCGTTTTGTACAACTTTTCTGGGATGTTGTTAGCATTTTGGCTCAGGGCAACCACCCAGTTGGCTTTGAGCCGAAATAGCTCAGTTGGGAGAGCGTTAGACTGAAGATCTAAAGGTCCCTGGTTCGATCCCGGGTTTCGGCATGTGAAGGTCCCAGTTTTGGTAAAAGATTGCCGTGATGGTTAGAGGTGCATACTCAGATGTTAAAAGAAAAAAGCGAGATCCACAAATGTCATGTGAAAAGTTGTTGTTCTGTGGAATCTCTCTTAAACATTTGTGACATAGTCAGAGCCAGGGTCCCCTGTACATTTGACCATTGAACCAAAAACTGTATTTTCTGTGTGACCGTTTTGTACAACTTTTTTGGGATGTTGTTAGCATTTGGGCCCAGGGCCACCACACAGCCAGCTTTTGAGCCGAAATAGCTCAGTTGGGAGAGCGTTAGACTTAAGATCTAAAGGTCCCTGCTTTGATCCCGGGTTTCGGCATAAGTAGGTCCCAGCTTCCGTAAAAAGCTTTCTCTGCGAAGTCTTTGTACAACATTTTTGGGATGGTGTTAGCATTTGGCCCAAGGGCCCCAACACAATTGGAGTTTGAGCCAAAATAGCTCAGTTGGGCGAGGGTTAGACTGAAGATCTTAAAGTCCCTAGTTTGATCCTGGGTTTTGTCATATGTAGGTCTATGTTTTGGTAAAAGACTGCAGAGGAGGTTAGAGATACATATTCAGATGTTAAAAGAAAAAGCGAGATCCCAAAATGTCTCTTGAACATTTGCGACACTGTCAATAGCTTTTGGGCCAGGGGCCACTGTACATTTGACCATTGAACCAAAAACTGTATTTTCTGTGTGACCGTTTTGTACAACTTTTTTGGGATGTTGTTTGCATTTTGGCTCAGGGCAACCACACAGTTGGCTTTTGAGCCGAAATAGCTCAGTTGGGAGAGCGTTAGACTGAAGATCTGAAGGTCCCTGGTTCGATCCCGGGTTTCGGCATGTGAAGGTCCCAGTTTTGGTAAAAGATTGCCGTGATGGTTAGAGGTGCATACTCAGATGTTAAAAATAAAAAGCGAGATCCACAAATGTCATGTGAAAAGTTGTTGTTCTGTGGAATCTCTCTTAAACATTTGTGACACAGTCAATAGCTTTTGAGCCAGGGTCCCCTGTACATTTGACCATTGAACAAAAAACTGTATTTGCTATGCGACGGTTTTGTACAACTTTTTTGGGATGTTGTTAGCATTTGGGCCCAGGGCCACCACACAGCCGGCTTTTGAGCCGAAATAGCTCAGTTGGGAGAGCGTTAGACTGAAGATCTAAAGGTCCCTGCTTTGATCCCGGGTTTCAGCATAAGTAGGTCCCAGCTTCCGTAAAAAGCTTTCTCTGCGAAGTCTTTGTACAACATTTTTGGGATGGTGTTAGCATTTGGCCCAAGGGCCCCCACACAATTGGAGTTTGAGCCAAAATAGCTCAGTTGGGCGAGGGTTAGACTGAAGATCTTAAAGTCCCTAGTTTGATCCTGGGTTTTGTCATATGTAGGTCTATGTTTTGGTAAAAGACTGCGGAGAAGGTTAGAGATACATATTCAGATGTTAAAAGAAAAAGCGAGATCCCAAAATGTCTCTTGAACATTTGCGACACTGTCAATAGCTTTTGGGCCAGGGGCCACTGTACATTTGACCATTGAACCAAAAACTGTATTTTCTGTGTGACCGTTTTGTACAACTTTTTTGGGATGTTGTTAGCATTTTGGCTCAGGGCAACCACACAGTTGGCTTTTGAGCCGAAATAGCTCAGTTGGGAGAGCGTTAGACTGAAGATCTGAAGGTCCCTAGTTTGATCCTGGGTTTTGTCATATGTAGGTCTATGTTTTGGTAAAAGACTGCAGAGGAGGTTAGAGATACATATTCAGATGTTAAAAGAAAAAGCGAGATCCCAAAATGTCTCTTGAACATTTGCGACACTGTCAATAGCTTTTGGGCCAGGGGCCACTGTACATTTGACCATTGAACCAAAAACTGTATTTTCTGTGTGACCGTTTTGTACAACTTTTTTGGGATGTTGTTTGCATTTTGGCTCAGGGCAACCACACAGTTGGCTTTTGAGCCGAAATAGCTCAGTTGGGAGAGCGTTAGACTGAAGATCTGAAGGTCCCTGGTTCGATCCCGGGTTTCGGCATGTGAAGGTCCCAGTTTTGGTAAAAGATTGCCGTGATGGTTAGAGGTGCATACTCAGATGTTAAAAATAAAAAGCGAGATCCACAAATGTCATCTGAAAAGTTGTTGTTCTGTGGAATCTCTCTTAAACATTTGTGACATAGTCAATAGCTTTTGAGCCAGGGTCCCCTGTACATTTGACCATTGAACAAAAAACTGTATTTGCTATGCGACGGTTTTGTACAACTTTTTTGGGATGTTGTTAGCATTTGGGCCCAGGGCCACCACACAGCCGGCTTTTGAGCCGAAATAGCTCAGTTGGGAGAGCGTTAGACTGAAGATCTAAAGGTCCCTGCTTTGATCCCGGGTTTCGGCATAAGTAGGTCCCAGCTTCCGTAAAAAGCTTTCTCTGCGAAGTCTTTGTACAACATTTTTGGGATGGTGTTAGCATTTGGCCCAAGGGCCCCAACACAATTGGAGTTTGAGCCAAAATAGCTCAGTTGGGCGAGGGTTAGACTGAAGATCTTAAAGTCCCTAGTTTGATCCTGGGTTTTGTCATATGTAGGTCTATGTTTTGGTAAAAGACTGCAGAGGAGGTTAGAGATACATATTCAGATGTTAAAAGAAAAAGCGAGATCCCAAAATGTCTCTTGAACATTTGAGACACTGTCAATAGCTTTTGGGCCAGGGGCCACTGTACATTTGACCATTGAACCAAAAACTGTATTTTCTGTGTGACCGTTTTGTACAACTTTTTGGGATGTTGTTAGCATTTTGGCTCAGGGCCACCACACAGCTGGCTTTTGAGCCGAAATAGCTCAGTTGGGAGAGCGTTAGACTGAAGATCTAAAGGTCCCTGGTTCGATCCCGGGTTTCGGCATGTGAAGGTCCCAGTTTTGGTAAAAGATTGCCGTGATGGTTAGAGGTGCATACTCAGATGTTAAAAGAAAAAAGCGAGATCCACAAATGTCATGTGAAAAGTTGTTGTTCTGTGGAATCTCTCTTAAACATTTGTGACATTGTCAATAGCTTTTGAGCCAGGGTCCCCTGTACATTTGACCATTGAACAAAAAACTGTATTTGCTATGCGACGGCTTTGTACAACTTTTTTGGGATGTTGTTAGCATTTGTCCCAGGGCCACCACACAGCCAGCTTTTGAGCCGAAATAGCTCAGTTGGGAGAGCGTTAGACTGAAGATCTAAAGGTCCCTGCTTTGATCCCAGGTTTCGGCATAAGTAGGTCCCAGCTTCCGTAAAAAGCTTTCTCTGCGAAGTCTTTGTCCAACATTTTTGGGATGGTGTTAGCATTTGGCCCAAGGGCCCCCACACAATTGGAGTTTGAGCCAAAATAGCTCAGTTGGGCGAGGGTTAGACTGAAGATCTTAAAGTCCCTAGTTTGATCCTGGGTTTTGTCATATGTAGGTCTATGTTTTGGTAAAAGACTGCGGAGAAGGTTAGAGATACATATTCAGATGTTAAAAGAAAAAGCGAGATCCCAAAATGTCTCTTGAACATTTGCGACACTGTCAATAGGTTTTGGGCCAGGGACAACTGTACATTTGACCATTGAACCAAAAACTGTATTTTCTGTGTGACCGTTTTGTACAACTTTTTTGGGATGTTGTTAGCATTTTGGCTCAGGGCCACCACACAGCTGGCTTTTGAGCCGAAATAGCTCAGTTGGGAGAGCGTTAGACTGAAGATCTAAAGGTCCCTGGTTCGATCCCGGGTTTCGGCATGTGAAGGTCCCAGTTTTGGTAAAAGATTGCCGTGATGGTTAGAGGTGCATACTCAGATGTTAAAAGAAAAAAGCGAGATCCACAAATGTCATGTGAAAAGTTGTTGTTCTGTGGAATCTCTCTTAAACATTTGTGACATAGTCAATAGCTTTTGAGCCAGGGTCCCCTGTACATTTGACCATTGAACAAAAAACTGTATTTGCTATGCGACGGCTTTGTACAACTTTTTTGGGATGTTGTTAGCATTTGGGCCCAGGGCCACCACACAGCCGGCTTTTGAGCCGAAATAGCTCAGTTGGGAGAGCGTTAGACTGAAGATCTAAAGGTCCCTGCTTTGATCCCGGGTTTCGGCATAAGTAGGTCCCAGCTTCCGTAAAAAGCTTTCTCTGCGAAGTCTTTGTACAACATTTTTGGGATGGTGTTAGCAATTGGCCCAAGGGCCCCCACACAATTGGAGTTTGAGCCAAAATAGCTCAGTTGGGCGAGGGTTAGACTGAAGATCTTAAAGTCCCTAGTTTGATCCTGGGTTTTGTCATATGTAGGTCTATGTTTTGGTAAAAGACTGCAGAGGAGGTTAGAGATACATATTCAGATGTTAAAAGAAAAAGCGAGATCCCAAAATGTCTCTTGAACATTTGCGACACTGTCAATAGCTTTTGGGCCAGGGGCCACTGTACATTTGACCATTGAACCAAAAACTGTATTTTCTGTGTGACCGTTTTGTACAACTTTTTTGGGATGTTGTTA